AATTTAAATACCCCCCGCGGCTTTGGCATTAACATGGCTGCCGCTTTTTTCCAGCTTGTAGATAAGCCGGAGAAAAGCGCCAATCTGGACGCGATCCTCCGGAAAATAAGCTCTTTTCTGGAGGATCTCTTGAAAGTAGGAATAATTATCCCCGCGGATTTGCCTATTCCAAAGTGCTACATTTGCATCCCTATTACGGAATAGGGGCCAATGTAGACACAGCCATACTGTACCCTTGACATATAATGAAAGTGTCTTTAAATGGTCTTTATATAATTTGGGAGCAGGAGGAAAAGGACCTTTCCTACCTCTTGCTCATATTCCAGTTGACCAAGACATTCAAGTAACTAAAATCAAATGTAACAAATAATTGACATTAGTAAGAATATTTAAAGAATGTAAATGTGCATATGTCAGAATTTCTAAGTTATGGTTACTGTAGAAAGTGGAAGTCAATTATGCACCCTAAAACATAAAATCCTTAATAAGACATACAGTAAAAAAACTAAGACAGGCAGAAGAACCAACTTAGAGTCATTGTGGGGACCATGTCTGTGAACTTGTGCTTAAATTCTCAACCATAATGTACTTATTTGATGAGTCTCTTAGAGCGGTATTTATCTTCAAAAGCTGACTGATCATCCTTTAAATATTTACCCATTGTGTAGGATCACAGACATATTTATTTTAACATGTGATGCTCCAGCTATGAGGACATGCATATGATAGCGCTGGGTTTTTGCACCTCCATCCCCAAAATACAGAGGCATGGCGATGCCAAGTATTGCCACATTTAACCTGGAGGGCAGTTAAAAATTGCTGGGAGTCTCAAAGCCTGAGTTTGGCAGCTGGGCTTCCTGTGAGGGAGAAGGCACCTCAGAATGGATTCACAAAAACCTGCACATTGGGTGGTTCCTGCCTAAGCTGGCCAGTACAAGATGTCAGGGAGAGGGGTGTGTCCTAAGCCTTGTCCTTCTCAGTAAGTTCAGCACCTAAAATCAGAGAGGCGTCTTCTCTGACTTAGGATCCTCTGCTGCAAACCCTCCTCTGCATTTAGGCACCTATGCTGATTACATAAAAAGTTGGGAGGGGAAGGGAGAATAGAGAACATCCCTCATAACTTTGAGCCCAATGGTTAAGGTACTCACCTGAGATGTGGGAATCCCCCTCTTCAAGGGGGGCAAAGGAATTTGAATGGGATTCTGTGTCTCGGGTGAATGCCTTAACAATGGACTATGGAATATTCTGATGCTGGGTTCCCTCAGTCTCTCCTGTTGATGTTGTCACACTGTGGATAAATAAAATGGGATGTAAGTGACCAGTCAACTATCCAATAAGAAAATGCTGATCGGATAGTTGACTAGTGACTCAACTAATCGCTTTCCTCGCTGCCTTAATGCCCAGCCCCTTAATGTCTCTATCAGGGAAAGGCAGCAAGGGAGGGGAGCAGAATTCGGTGCTGGGGGGAGCTGACTTTAAAGCCAGTTCCCCCAGCACTGTCTCTCCATTGGGGAGAAGGGGCAGGGGTGTAGTGGGGAACTGGTGGTGCTTCCGCCTTTGAAATGTAGCAAGAGCAAGGCACTGCCGGGAGCGTGGGACTGCTCAAACTGTTCTCTGCTGGCCCCATGCTCCTGGAAGTACTTTGCTTTTGAAATGTACAAGAGCACTTCAGAGCGTGGAGCCAATGGGGAACTGCTTGAGTCCCCTGCTGGCCATGCTCCCTGCAGTGCTTCCATCTTTGAAATGTAGCAAGAGCTGACAGGCACCCTTATCGACTAATCGACAAGTCAATGCAAATTACTTCGATTGTTCAATTAGTTGATTAATCTAAATTTAACATCCTCATAACTAGAGCAATGGAACTAGATCCTGAGTCTTCCACCTTTCAATTACATGCTTTGACCACCAGCTCCACTAACTTCATGCTTTTGTGTGCTCTCCCTCTCTCTCTGGCCCGGAGATTCTTTCCTTATTTATCCATAAGAACAACTCAACAGGAGAGCTCCATGGCGTCTCACATTAGACTGTCCTCACCTGAGATGTGGCAGACACCTATTCAAATTCCATCTTTCTCAGCCACGGGGCTAAAAGTTAGGAGGGAAGTCCTCCCCAATCCATATTGTGTAAGCTCACATGCAGCGGCCTGATCTGATAGACTATGTCTTTGTATGCTTTATGTGTGGGGCCCTGCAATGAGTTAAGCAAAGGAAAGTTTACTTTTCCCCAATTCATGCATTGTTCTAGGGCAGTGGTTCTCAAACTGTGATCTGTGGACTCCTTCCAGCTGGTCCATGGCTCGAGCTCAGCTTCCCCCTCCTTCCACCCTGCCTCCTTCTCCCTGCAGCAGGGAGCCCACGCTGCACCCTTCCTCCCATGAGATTGGAGCGCTGGCTTCCCTAGGTGGGGGAGAAGCCCCAAGCCTCCCCACTGGATCTGCCTCATGGGGAAGAAGTAGATCAACATGGAGTCAGAAGCAACTCTGCATGCTGCCACTTCTCCTCCCCCTTCCCTACCTGGGGAAACAGCAGTGCATTGACACGCTGCCTGGAGGCTTTCCCCACTGCTCCCATTGGCTGGATTCTGGCCAATACCCCCGCCCTGTTCCTGAACCCTCCCTTCTGGCCATGTACTACACTTTGCCTTGCTCTTGCCTCCTCCCCCCTACTTCCAGTCTGCTCCTGTACCCCTTCTCCCACCCAGACCTCGCACCCTCACCCCCTCCTGCAGCCCATCTTCCTGTCCACATCTGCACTCTCACCCCTCTCCCACTCACTGGCAGCCCTGTCCCACACGCTGAACCCCACATTTTTGTCCCCACCCCAAAGCCTGGAGTGTCCACAAAATCCACTAACCCCGAAACCCTAGAAAAGTAAATCCAGCCCATGGGAAACCTCAGTCCTTCCTGCTCCCCTCCGTTGCCCCATGGGGCTTGAGCTAGGGATGTTAAAATTGGATTAAGCAGCTAATCAAGTAGTCAGCCTCCCCCCTACTTCCAGTCTGCTCCTGTACCCCTTCTCCCACCCAGACCTCGCACCCTCACCCCCTCCTGCAGCCCATCTTCCTGTCCACATCTG